CGTGTCCGTTTTCAGTTCTTGACGCATCGGTAAAAATCTTGTTATGTCCAGTGTATTCTAATATCCGTTCTTGATATAATTTGTTAATGATTATGGGATTTGTGGTACTCTTTGGATAGGCTGTGAGGGATAGATCAATAGTGGGAAAATTAATAGTCCAGGGAGGTATAGTTTGTTGTGTAGGGTAAGAATGTGTGAGCTGCTCCATGTCAAAACCGTATCTCGTTAGACGTTCTTTAAGGGGTGGATATTTAATTTGTTGATGGCAATGAGTAGGTTGATATATTTTATAAAGAAGTGGATAGTTTGTGTTATTAGGGTTGGAAGACAATCTCGCGGCATAATTTAAAGAAATGTGTTGTCTTCGTATTGATAGGGGAGATTCATTTAGGATAACCTGAAAACTTGAAACAGGACTAGTTCGGTAAGCACCCAGAATTAGTCTTAAACATGTGTTTTGTATAATGTCTAGTTTTTTAAGTATATAATTACTCGCAGTTGAATAGCATATTGCACCATAATCCAGTTTACTTCGGATTAATGATTGGTATATATGCAGCAATTTTATGGTGTCCGCTCCCCAAGATCGATTTGATAGCATTTTAAGGAGATTTATTTTAGATTGGCAGGATACGACTAGCTTTTTAATATGTTCTGCCCATGTTAACTGACTGTCCAGTCTTAGGCCAAGAAAGTCAATGCTCTCTACTTGTTCTAGGTTGATACCATTTAGAGTAAGTGTTGTTTTGCAATCAGTTTTTCTTTTATTGAATACCATGAAACGAGATTTATCACCTGAGAACGTAAAACCAGTCTTTTGGGACCAGTCTTCTAGTTTATGCAGAAATGATTGCAAAATGTTTGAGGCTAGTGTAATATTGCAGCTACTAGTATATACAACTAAGTCATCTGCATACAGACCTGCTTTCAAAGGTAGCTTTATCTCTTGAGCGATATTATTAATTGCTATTAAGAATAAAGTGGGGCTTAAGGTTGAGCCCTGTGGAATACCGTTTTCAAGACATTCTGTTTTTGAGGTAATTCCATTTACACGTACTTGAAATATCCTATTATTCATGAAATGTTTTACAAAGGCAAGAAAATTTCCCTGGATACCCCAATTGGACATGGTTTGTAAAATGTTGTATCTCCATGCAGTATCAAATGCTTTATTTATATCAAAAAATATGGCAATTACTTTCTGGTTATTTCTAAAGGACTCACATATAATATTGTCAATAGCTACTAAGGCATCATGAGTTGATCTGCCTTTTCTGAAACCGCTTTGGATATGGCTTAATAATTGGTTTTTTTTCAAGAAACCACATTAATCTGTTATTTAAAATTTTTTCTAGTAGTTTGCATGTATTATTTGTAAGAGAAATTGGTCTATAGGAAAGGGGGTCAGTTTTTGATTTGAAAGGTTTTAATATGGGAATAATTGTTGATTCAGACCAGATTGAAGGAAATTTTTTATTAAGGTAAATGTGATTGAAAATGTCTAAGAGAATTAATTTTCCTATGTACGGCAAGTTTTTGATAAATATGATTGGTATATTATCAGGACCCGATGAATTGTTTTTTGATTTATCTAGAGCTTCTTCAAATTCTTGATATGTGATGGGGAAATTTAGTGGATTATCACTATCTATTATAGATATATCTGTCATTTCACGTTTATTTTTGAAATCTAAAAATGCGGGATTGAAGTTTGCACTGCTTGAATTATTCTTATATACATCTGACATAATATTACTAATTTCTTGTTTGGAAGATATTAATTTGTTTTTATAATAAAGAGTGTTAATATGAATTGAGTTTTGTTCACCTTTTAATGTACGAACTTTATTCCAGATTGTAGTCATAGGTGTTGATGAATTTATGGTAGAGACATAATTTGACCATGTTTCTTTTTTACTTTTCTTAATAAGATATTTAGTTTTTGCTCTAAGTTTTTTAAAATTGATAACATTTTCTGTTGTTTTATGTCTTTTTAAAACATTGAAAGCATGTTTGCTAGATTTCATAGCTAAGGCTATTTCTTCACTCCACCATGGTACTGGTTTTCGTTTACAAGGTTTTGTTTTTCCCACTGCAATATTAGCGCATTTTACTATAGTATCATTGAAATGATGAAGAGATGAATCTATGCTATCTTCTAGAATAAAGTTCGTAAGATAATTATTTAATAGATCTCTATATAAGTCCCAGTTTGCTGAGTTTAATTTCCATTTTTGGTAAACAGGAATATTTGGTTGATCATGCAAAATGGTTTCAATTGTTACAGGAAAATGATCGCTATTATATAGATAATCAAGACTATTCCAAGAAAAACTTGTAGCTAATGTGTGATCACACAATGAAATATCGATGGCAGAAAAAGTACTATTGTGGGAGCTGAAATGAGTAGATTTACCAGTATTCATTAAAATTAGATTTTGATTGTCTATTAATTTCTGAAGAAGTCTACCACATTTGTCTGTTTTTATACTACCCCATGTGATATTATGACAATTCAAGTCACCAAGTATTAGTTTGGGAGAAGGAATATCATCGATTAAGCGATGTAATTCTTCAAGTACATTTTCATTTGGATGAGGGAGGTAAATGTTACATATGTTAATAGGTCTGCAGTTGATATTGCATGACACTGATACAGCTACAGCTTCTAGATTAGTGTGTAGCTTAATTTCTTTGGTCTGAATGTGATTTTTTACAAAAATACCAACACCTCCACTAGCATATGTTGCGTCTCGATTTTTAAGGAAATGGGAATAATTTTTTATATTAAAGTTATTACTTTTAAGGTGGGTTTCCTGTAAACATATTACAAGAGGAGAAAGATCGTTTATAAGTAGATTAAGGGATTCTAAATTGTTAAAATAACCATTAAGATTCCACTGTAATATAAATGTATTATCCATTTTATTTTACAACGTGGGAAAGGGAGTTATCGCTTTCAATATCCGAGGATGAATCGGTAACTAAGGATTGTATCTTTTTTCGAAGTCTTGTTAGTTTATTTTTTATTTTGCGATCATGAATATGGTCATGGGCGAATAGAAGTATCTCTTTAAAAGAACTTATATCGGTTGTGTAATTTTCTACTATGGGGGTAGGATAATTTGAGTTTAATGCGTTACATATCGCGTCACAAAGAACTGTAAATTTAAGAGGAAATGTCGGGTATTTAGATTCGATTTTACCTTTAATAGATTCAAGTGACTCGAGGATATCAGATTGTGATGATTTTGGCCGCTTAACTGTATTTTTGGGTTTGGTAAAAATTGTTGGATCGGGTGGGGTTTCATGTATCTCAGGAGAGTCAGTAGATATTTGTCTCTTTGTTTTTTGATGGGAGGCATCAGTGTTCAAAGTAATAGGATTGTTATTTTTAGTCGTTTCGTTGTGAATATCTTCTGTTGTTATTTGAAAGTTAGTGGTATTATTAATAGGATTTCCTGCTTCTGTTGTAAGATTTTGAGGTTTAGACGGAAGTGATATTGTAGATTGAGATTCAATGGGCGTTTCAGTTGATGTCAATTGTGATAGAACAGGGCAGTCTGTTTCGCGATGACCTTTTGACATACACTTAGGGCAATTTAAGTCAGTGGATAGATAAATTCGATAGTTGGTGTTGTCGAAGGATATTGTAATGAAATCTGGGATAGTGATATTTTCAATAGGAGTGATAAAAATTTGTCTTCGAAAGCTTAAAACGTGGTTATAGGCAGTGTCCGGCATTCCAACTCGCAGAAAAGTCATCTGGGATACAGTATTAAGTCCTAATTTTTTCAGCTCAACTTCAAGTAATGAGTTTGGTATGGTGGGACAGACATTTGAGATGACCAGTCTTGTAGCAGGAGTAATTAGACGTCTTACTTCAACTTCTGAATCATTAATGGATATTGATGTATGTGTCTTCAGCAATGTATTGACGACTTCGGTATTGGAGAGATAAATACAAATTCTGTTATTTGAGATGCGGGATGCAAATAATATATTTTCTGGTTTTACTATATTTCCTATTGCTATCACGTATTCATTTATTTTTATTCCATTGAGAGCAGATAGGACAATGGCTTGGTTTTTGGTTGGATATTTAAATGAAGTAACAGCGTTGGAATATGAACATGGTTGATTATTGTTAGGAGAAGAAACAGAACCAACAGAATCTTCATCCATTTTTAAAAATATTATTCATATTTTGGTACCTCTATTCTTCAGACGGTCCTGTTTGTCACAACAGAATCGGTAATGAGGTACCAAAAGTTGTGTAGTTGATAAATCCGGTAGCAGGAACTTGTTTTGATATAAGTATCTTTAATTATATTATAATAAATACTACTTACAGTTTTTTTCCAAGTAGTTCAAATTTATTTTTATATTAACACTACACTTTATTGCAATTTTATCAACTGAATATAAATAATATCGCAAAAAAAACTAGGTGTAATTAGGCTAGCTATTAAACACGTCTGTTAACGACAAAGGTTCGACGTGAAGTCAACATAACTAGTTGATTACCTAAAATTCTTAAAAACTAGTCACCGTTTATTTTTCCCCATACCCTTCAAATCATCTTTTTGGAAAAAAATAACTTAATGGGTTATTCGACTGACTACCTAAAACAAACGAGAGACCCTTCATTTTTTGTATTGTTATTACAGCTTTTAAAATTTACTGTACATAATAGAAAGTCAAACTTCATCTTTTTAACAGTGAAAAATCAATACTTAGCATATATTTTGAGGTCTTCTGGTACTTTTAGAAACTAACCAGAACTCAACAACAATTTACTCAGAATGATATAGGTATGAGAAATATTCAACATCGTTATCTAATAAAGAACGAATAGTGATGATGACATATCCTTGATCTGATAATAAAAAGTTAACTACTGACTTTAAAACTTAAGAGTCTTGTTCATTGAAATGACTCCTGATCTTCAACATTATAAATATGTATATTAACTATAACATAATAAATGTCGATCTCACCTCTCCAGCAAAAGGTTCACCATCAATTGTGTGTTCTGATCCTTTGTCATTTGTTTCTCCCCAATGGCAATGGAATTGGTCCAGAACATATTCATCCTCAAGAGGCCCTCCTTTTAATTCTAAAAGAAAAGACACGGGAAATCAAAACATTATCAAGCTAAAATTTCTAAATAAAATAAATTCCGAATCATAAACATAAAGCACCGTGCAAAAAGAAAGCATTTCTCCATTTTGTAATGTTTAATTATTCATCCTTTAGGACTAATCTGATTTTAGGTACTAGGTTGATGATATGACTTTTAACTTTTTAATTTCTCCTACTATCTGTGACGCTTTCCACTATATAAGCGAAACAAAGTTTTATTATAGTTTAATAGTTTGGAACAATCGCAAGAGGCACCCAATCTTCTTAATACCTTATTTGTTGTTATTGGATTCCGGTTAAATCAAAGTATTTTTTATATATTCTATTACATTGTCGTTTTCATATTTCAAACTCACTTTTTTTAAAATGCCCACATTGTCATTTTAAATTATTTCCGAATATACATAGTTCTTCAACTACATCTTGTCCAACACATGTTATTTTATCAAGAACTTGAAAGTCCCATGTAGAAGGATGTCCTTTTCACCATGATCTTCATTTAAAGATATGTGACATATTTGTGTGATATATTTTATGATGATGTTTAATACTATGGTCGCTTTGTACATCTGCCGAGTTAAAGTATCTCAAGTCGATTTTTTTAAGGATGTGTATCTCTGTTTGGTATAACATAATCTATCATAGATCTTTGTCCACGGATGTTAGAACGGTAGTCCACGATAGTGATCTACTGAATGTATATTTGTGTTGAACTTTGTGGTCAAAAATGTATTGTACATATATTCGTGCAAAAGTTTATTGTCAGTTCTCCAATTTCGTTACGTGTTTGTCCATTCGAGCGTTAAAATCGCCCAATGTTATCAACTTCCTCTGACTTGGTCCACTAGTTGTTGTAAAGCATCATTAAATGTTTCCCTTGTCATGAAAAAGGATGCATAAGTAAAAACAACTTCAGCGTTCTCAGGATATATAAGATGTATACATATACGTATTATAAGTCCATGGATGTATACATAATATAAACCTTTCAAATATTGATGCAGACCCCTTAGGACCCCTTTAGATAAGTATATAGCTCTCACTGACGGGTTCTGGTTATTTTAAAATTAGATATGTCTAAAAATTATAAACTGCAAATGTTATACAAATTTTTAAACTTCCCTTAAAATTTATCACCTCCACTCTATGTAAGTGCTGGTTATTTATTTACAACGACTACTCATTTTTCAAAGGAAAGTTATAACAGATTAAAATAATCTGCCACTTTAAATTTAGATACAAGACATGTTTATAAGTTGATGTTATTGGGAAATATAATTTAACACCTAATTCTAAAAATAAAATGAAACAGCATTATAAACACTGCAAATATTTCTGAACACAATATTGTTTATTTTATGACTTTGTTGTGGTTGGCGGTTCGAAAAGTCATGTTTTTAATTAGGTATATATCCACAAAGTTAATTTTCTAAGATTCATAAAATTTATGGAGTAGAAGCAATAAAAATATATTGCTTGTGTTTACTTACTTATTTTGCATAATTACTTTGAGGTCACGTCATTAATGGCTAACTTTATTTATTTTGTAATCTACAAACATATTTAATGATCACAGTGATCGTCTCTACTTTGATATATCACTATATCAGTCTTCGAATATAATGGTCAATTAAGGTTTTCTTCAGTAGCTTTTTTAATCATTCATATTTCATTGATATGTGACTATACTCCAGCAAAGAAATAATGAAATGAGTCATGCGCGTGATATCGTAAGTTATCATATAATTTAGCTGTCCTTTTGCCAAGAAGCGTATCAGTAGCGGAGAATATATTTTTATTTAGCGTGTGGCATATTAAGAACACATATAGTTAAAAGCAATATTTTTATAAAAAAAAAACTTTAAATGGAGAGTATTACAAACGAACAACTAATATATCAATATAATCTTTTGGTCTCAAAATCAATATAATCTCAAACATTTCAGGCATTCCATCTTAGTTTTTCTTGCTGATCTGTCAATACATTACACTCCTTATCTATTTCCTTTTTTAAACGTTTAACGGCGCCGGGAAAATACTCAGTAGTTTACATTCTTTGTATTTAAGTGGTTAAATCGTTTTTTGTTCGCCGGCAGTTTGTTTATAATCGTTTTATCAAAGTAGTGGAATTTTTTTTTTGTAAAACTTAAAAAAAACGATACCTATTCAGATAGTACGCTGGTATTGTGGGTGATGTGCCGCCCTGTATGTACGGCATCAGTATGGTGTATTTGTTTATCGTAACGTACATAATATTCATACATACACACATAAACTTCACACTTATTCACACAATAAGTGTGAAGAATACCTGAGTCCTTCTCGATATGGTTTTAGGAAAGGTACAGGCACCAGAGAAGCAATAATGGGATTGACATCAATGGCAGAAAGGTATCTCGAGGTTCAAAAACAGCTGTATGTGTGCTTTGTCGATTATAGAAAAGCCTTCGACCGCATTAGACACGAAAAATTGATTGAGGTGCTAAAAGAAGTAGGGCTGGACGGACACGACATAGCTATAATAAGCAATACATACTGAAACCACACAGGATGTGTTCGAGCAGACAACGGAAATACCAATTATGTAAACATAGAACGAGGAGTGCGTCAAGGGTGCATTCTGTCCCCTCTTCTATTTAATGTCTATGCCAAAAATATCATCAGAGCTTCTCTTGAAGATCGCCCTGAAGGTACCAGAGTCAATGGAATCATCATTAACAGTGTAAGATATGCCGATGACACCGTAGTATTAGCAGAAACAGAAGACCAACTAAAAATATTGATGAACATACTATCAGAAGAAAGTCACAGACTAGGTTTGGATATTAATTTTTCCAAAACCAAAATCATGGTATTCCACAAGAACCCCCATGAACAAATTACACCCAACATACAAATCAATGGTATTACCCTTCAGAGCTCCCAAAGCTTCATATACCTGGGCAAAGAGCTAAACAGTCAGCTAGACCACCCAAAAGAAATTAGAAGGCGTATTGAAATAGCAAGATCTGGCTTCATGAACATGCGTAAAATGCTCTGTAACCCCAAGCTATCAATCACAATAAGGTTAAGAACACTAAAGTGTTATGTGTGGTCTCTACTACTATATGGCTGTGAGACCTGGACATTAAAACAGTATGACGTCAACAAACTGAATTCATTCGAAATGTGGATGTACCGCCGAATGCTAAGAATAAGCTGGACCAGCAAAACTACAAATGAAGAGGTACTGGAAATAATAAACACACGACCTCATCTGGTTAATACAATCAAAATTAGAAAGACGTCATATCTAGGACACATAATGCGCCATAAGAAATTTGAGCAGCTCCAGGTAATATTAGAAGGCAAAATCGAGGGTAAAAGGGGTATAGGAAGAAAGAAGAAATCCTGGCTCCGAAACATCAGAGATATGACTCACACATCAGGAAATGACTTAATCCATCAAGCCCAGAACAGAGAGAAATTTGCCATATTGATCGCCAACCTCAATAGAGAAGGAACTTTGGAGGAGGAGGAACGTACATAAACGATACTATAAAGCACGATGGATAATGTAGAACGTACTATTACGATTATAGCTCTTCAAAGATGTAAATACTTAAAATGTACGGTGATAGAACTTGAACAATGGAGATTAATTTGCGTAATAGTACGGCGCTCATCAAAGCTGCAAATAAAAATCTTACTGTTACGGCAACAGTATAGAAATGATTAAAATTCTAGCCCTTGTTTTAATTTCGATCCAGTGGTGATTCGAACCCGCATTTGCTCCTCTTTTGGTGCGAACGTTTAATTATATTTAATTGGTGTCTTGAGTCTACAATATAATAAGTTCTCATATTTACTGTAAATCCGTCTGGTGAAATTCAGGTGCCTTTATGTTTATCTTTTTAAGCAAAGTTAAAATTTCTTAACAGATTACACTTCACCACCGTACAGCATGAATTATTTGCTAATTCGCTTCAAGTTAAACCAGCCAGACTGTATCCTGTGACGATTAAGTGTCCCATTTTCAGTTATGTACAAGGTATTTAAATTAAGCAATTCGATGTTCCCAATCATTCCTGTTATTCCCAACCAAATACCCTCCGATTTCGAGTGTACTTCTGCTCACCTTTAGTCCTTCATCCTAAATAGCCCTTTTCAAGCACGCACTCTCACTTCTCCTCCAACATTTCATTGCTCTCCTCCACTAGCACGATATCATCCACAAAGAGCATTGACCAAGCAGCCTCCTCTCTTACCTTCTCTGTTAGTACATCCATAATAGGATTAAACAGGTAGGGACTCAGTGCATAACTTTGAAGGAAACCAACCGTCACTGAAAAACTTTTGGCCAATCCGAAAAAGTTCTTACTTTGGTCTAATCTACCTCATACATATCCTTGTCTCTCAAAGATCTTCACAGCTCTTGTTTAGAAACTGCGTTGTAAGTCTTCTCAAGATCTATAAATTCCACTCGCCATATTTCTCTAGCAAGTATCTCTAAACCAATGAGGCCCGCGTCGTCCTTTTTCCTGACATCCATTGTCCTTTCCAAACTCAAACTCTTCTTGTTTTATCGATGTCTCCCTCCTTAACCTTTAATCTGCAGTTCTCTCCCAAATTTTCATTGTGTCTACATTAACATTATCCCTCTCCATTTACAATCCTGAATGTTCCCTTTATCTTTATACAGTGATACCATCAAGCTCTACCTCCATTCCTTGGGCATGCTTTTTTTCTCATATATCCTACTCATCATTTGCCACAACACATCAACCCCTTCCTCTATTAGACCAAACCTTCCAAACCTCCACAGATATTACATAATGTTTTATTGCTTCACCATTCTTCATCCCATTTATGGCCTCAACAACCTCGTCTCTCGTTTTCCTCAGTATTACATTCTCATTTGGGGTGCCGCACCCTCTGTGTCTCCTCTGGTGTTCTTCATTAAGCAACTTTCTAAAGTAGTCGTACCATCTTTGC